AAAAGAATTGAAAATAATGATTAAAGTGTTTGAGACTATATGTTAATAAAAAGAAACTAAGACATAAAACGAGAAGTATAAGAAATGAATGTTAAATGAATTAATATGAATAGTTGTTATTATTGTGATGAAAAGAAGAGATAGAAGAAGTGACATGACACAGTTGAAAGAGAATATAAAAGAATGTGAAATAGATTTTATAAAACGTGTTTGAAAAGTTAATGAGAATACGTCTCAAAGAATAATTAGAGAAAAAAGAAAATGACTATAAAATACATCACTACCTTAAATGAATAATAAAATATTGAATATTAATGAATGGAGAAAGAAGAAAATGAACGGTGAGATATTAATTTACTTTGAAAATAAAATAATAAACCAACAGAAAACAACTAAAATTTGTGAAGCAAATATAATTGTTAAAAAAGAACAAATTAAATGAAGAAGAATTAGCAAGAGAGAATAATAATTGTATAGAAATGAAAAATTGCAAACACATGAAGTAAAAGGTTTGAAGTATCATATTTATTAAATGGTAAATTATAACTAAAATTCTGATGAGTTGCTATTACAAAGAAAGTATGGATTGAGAAATATGAAAAAATTGAGAATATGTCAGTATGTCAATGAAAAATAAAGAAAATTGATGGAAATAAAGAAATAAAGATGAATTGAAGAAGAAAATGAGAAATTAAAGAAAGATAAAAATGAACAATGAATAAAAGAAACAAAAAAAAAATAACAGAAAGTGAGTATATAATCTGAAATAAGAGACTATACAAAGAAGAAAGAAGAAGAGAACAGAGAATATGTAATTGACATAAATAATAAAAAGGTATAAAAGATGTGAATTAATAAGAAAGAAGAATATCTGTAGAATATTTACAGATGAAATAATGAGATATTCCAATTCAATGAATAGAATATGAATAGAGAAAATGAATAGAAGTATTGTTGTTTCAAATACAAAGCAATAAATGTATTGAACAAGAATGAATGAATAAGAAAAATATAGAAGTGAAATGAATAAAACATGATGTGAATTATAATAAAAGAAAGAAATATATGACAAACATTCCTGTGAATATAATGAATTATATGAACTAGAAGAAATACAATTGAAAGAGAATGGGTGAAGGAAAAAATTCTCTAAATTAATTTATAAAAAGAATAAGTCATTAATTTATTTTGTTAATACCTTTATTTTCTTCTATATAATGATAGTTACAACAAGATTATATCTGAATAAATTGTATCAATTATTTTTAAGTAAATGCTCAATAAATTATTCAAAAATGTTGGTTATTACATATTATTAACTAAATTATAATAAAAGCCAAAGACTAAAGTATTGAACAAGAATATCTAATTAATTAAATAAACTCAATTTATCCATGAGTTATTTTTTTTAGAGGTTAATGACTATTATTGAATAAAAAACAACAAAGTCTAAAACTCTGTAAAGCAATTAATAGATAAATAAAGAAGAAGATTGTTAAATGAAGTTCTTTAAAAATAGTCAAATGTAGCATAAGTAGTTAGTATAAAACTATGATGAATAACTTAATATAGTCAGCCACCTCCATGAAACTACTACAGCTAGCATATAAATTTAGTATGAGTAGAATTTGCTTTCATTTTACCAAAAAAATATACTGCCATTTACATCTTGGTAATTCCAAATTAAATCATGTAAGAAATAATAATAAAATTAGGTTATATTCTATTTAAAAGAATATATCTTCTGGATAAGTATCTGTAATTGTTCATTTGAAGAAGAAATACATGGGTTGGTTGGTCTTGCATCGAGGAATTGTTGGGTTAATTCATATACTTTTCTCCATTTATATAAATTAATTGTTCCATCACCTAGTTTATCTGGATTACCTTCGTCAATAAGCATTAAATCTTTACTTAGAATTCCTATAAAAGGGATATACGGTGTTTCCAATTGGCTTAAATACGCTCTAAGATATTTATAATTTTGTTTAAAAGAACATAATTCTTCTGTTTCATTTAAATAATTTTTATCTTCTTCACTAATTTTTTTACTTTTGATAGAATCTAAATCGAGTCTAGGAAGTGTATAAACTACTGAAACTAAGAAATGAATATCTTTTAATTGTTGTAATCTTTTCATAAATAATATTAGTCCTTGAATAAATTGAGCTTTATCTCCTTTAGGACATTCATTAAAACAATTAACAATGGTAGTTCCAATCCAATTAAATCGTTCAATCATATTTTGAATATTTGGAGTTAACGGTTTATTTTCTGGTTTATTATAATTCATTACAATCAATTCTTCATACGTGACTCTTGAAAATAACACTAAATTAAATGAATTTAATGTCTCTGCAAGAGCAATAGTATTTGGTTCAGTCATGAAATACTGGTATGATAGTGTTATTGTAGATTGAATAGGAAGATAAACTCTTGTTCTTGTTCTCATAGCTAAGGAAATTCCAACACTATTTATACTTAAAATCAAAAGATGATTCTTTTTTGATTCTGGTTGTGATAAAATGATTGTCTTAATCTTTTTAATAAGTTCTGGTTTTTTTTCAAAATCACTAAAAAAACTTTTTGTCCATTGAATAAACACTGAAAGAATACTTGACTTTGTTTCTTCAGTTGTATTAGCGTCATTAAAAACATTAACTAATTGAAAAATGACTGTTTCAGTTGAAATAAATTTTTTATGTAACATTAAGAACATAT